GGAGGTTGTAGTGAGCTGAGTTGGCGACCTGTCCATGGTAAAGTGTGTGCTGTGGCTGTGCCTTTTGGGGACCTCTGCCCTCCTGGGTGGGAGCTCCGCCTGTCACTGTCCTGGGACCAGGCCACTGAGGCCTCCAGCAGGCTGCACCACCGAAAGGGTCCGCTTGGTTCATGGTTTTCTGCTTACCCATCCAGGGCTAGACTTTGCTGGAGTAAAAGAAGAACAGGTATCCAGCCCCAGGGGCCCAGTACGATGCTTCCTGGCTGGGATGGAGATTTTTCTGAGGATGCTGGGCAGGCTCCAATAACTGGTGTGAACACACTTATTTCTCCCATATTTTGCCTAAGGGGCAACTGGGCCTTCAACTCACTGAGTCTGTAAAGACCCCCTGGGTCCACAGTGAGGTCTGCTTTAGGGGAGAGAGACTTGGAAGCCCGAAATGAGGATCTCCCCTGGCCGGACTCACAGGGCAGTAAGGAGCCAGGGGAACATCTTCAGCTCTCCTTGACCAAAGCTCATGCTAGGCTGGGCGCGGTGGCTCACGCCTGTAATCCCAACACTTTGCCAGGCTGAGTGGGGTGGATCGCCTGAGGTCAGGAGTTCCAGACCAGCCTGGCAGACATGATGAAACCCCGTCTCTACTAAAATTACAAAAATTACCCAGGTGAGGTGGCGCATGCCTGTAATTCCAGCTACTCAGGAGGCAGAGGCAGGAGAATTGCCTGAAACTGGGAGATGAAAGTTGCAGTGAGCGGAGATCCTGCCACTGCTCTCTAGCCTGGGTGACAGAGGGAGACTGTCTCAAAAAAAAAAAAAAAAGCTTGTGTTGAAAGCATAGCCAACAAGAGCCAGAAGGGGACAGCAGAGAGCCCTCCACAGTGGTCAGGCTGCGAGTGTGTGTGTATATACACATACACACACACATACACACACACACTGTCATGGTGGAAAGGGGTGTGTTGGGGATGTGTGTGTGTGTGAATGTGAGTGACTGTGTGTGTGGGTATGTGTAGGAGTGTGTGTGTGTGTGCCTGAGTGTGTGTGTGAGTCTGTGTGCGGGTGTATGTGACCATGACAGTGTGTGTCTGTATGTGTGAGAGTGTCAGTGTGTTTGTGCACACACAAGTATGTGAGTGTGTTAGTGTGTCAGAGAGTGCATGAATGAATGTGAGTGTGAGTGTGTCAGTGTGTATGTGTGTACATGCTGAGACAGAACCTGCGAGAGCCAGGAGCCAGAGGAGCGGACAGTCAGGAGCTTGGAGGCGGGGTTGGAGAGGACAGGGCGGACTGGCCTGGACATCCTGCTTCAGGCTGTCGGGAGGTGAGGAGGGCCTGCGTGGGAGTCCACATGATTGCTCCTGGCTCCCATCTGGGCCTGGAACCCAGCTTTCTCTGCCCCGAAGTACACACCCCTTCACCATGCTGTGCTGCCACTTCGTGAGAGGAGCTTTTGTGACCCCGACTCTTAGAATTCCAGAGGCTTCAGGAATGCATGTCATCAAGTACTATGTGGTGTAGTAGAAAATGTCCCGGGCCAGGAGTCAGGGGGGCCGGGGGCCACACCTTGCAGTTAACTTTATTCTCTGTTTTTTTTTTTTTTTTTTTTTTTTTTTTTTTTTTTTTTTTTGTTTTGTTTTGTTTTGTTTTTTTTTTTTGAGACGGAGTTTCGCTCTTGTTGCCCAGGCGGCTGGAGTGCAGTGGCGCGATCTCAGCTCACAGCAACCTCCACCTCCTGGGTTCAGGCAATTCTCCTGCCTCAGCCTCCTGAGTAGCTGGGATTACAGGCACGCGCCACCATGCCTAGCTAATTTTTTTGTATTTTTAGTAGAGACGGGGTTTCACCATGTTGACCAGGATGGTCTTGATCTCTTGACCTCGTGATCCACCCGCCTCGGCCTCCCAAAGTGCTGGGAATACAGACTTGAGCCACCGCGCCCGGCCTTATTCTCTGTTTTTCAAAGGAGGCTCAGCCCTTAGCACAGAAGATGAAGTGCTGGGAGGCTTGTGGGGGAAGCCCAAGGCTACCATGTGCAAGCCAGGCTCTTGGGGAAGTTTGTTTTGGCTTAAAAGCTTTACAAGTGTTGAATTACTCTCTATCCTCTGTGCATCTTTATCTAACATGCTCTGGGGAGATGTGCCAGATATCGTTTGGCTGTGGGTTTTTTGTTTTTGTTTTTTTCTGTAGAGATGGCATCTTGCTTTGTCATCCAGGCTGGAGTGCAGTGGCAAGATCTCAGCTCACTGCGATCTGTCTCCCGGGTTCTCTTGCCTTAGGCTCCGGAGTAGCTGGGACTGTAGGTGCACGCTGCTACCCCCGGCTAATTTCTATTGTATTTCAATAGAGACGGAGTTTCACATGTTGCCCAGGCTGGTCTTGAACTCCCGAGCTCAGGCAATCCGCCCACCTACGTCTCCCAAAGTGTTAGGATTACAGGCGTGAGCCACCGCGCTGGGCCTTGGCTGTGGTTTTGTCAGATCCCGGCATCAGCTCTCAGCTCATGTGGTGGGAGCACTGGAGTTCGAGCAGCCAGGAAGCAAAGACCCCTGAGGTCTTTCCGGCTGTCAGTGTGGGCTCGCCTCCCGCGGTTTCAACCTCATCTTTTTCCCTAGTCTGCTCCTTGTGACCTTGTCCGCCTGGCAGCACATTGGAGGTCACATTCGTGCAGATGCCCCCCATTGCCACAGAATGCCCCCCCATTGCCAGAGTGTGCCTCCCCACCTGACCAGGAGGATTCCTGTCCGTTGGAGTCCCCTCCGTACTGTCATAACCCCTGGGGACACTTTGATATGTGGGAGAAGAAATCTTTGTGCAAATAAAGAAAAAAGGCAACATCAGGGTACAGGTTGCCGGATGATTAAGCCCAAGGCTTGTGGCGAGGCCTTGGGTCAAAGGAAAGGGCCCTCATGGTGAGCCGTGTGGTTTGGGAGCAGAAGGAGGCTGGATTCCAGACCTCCCGGCTCCCTGGGCCTAGCCTCAGGGAAGTGCGTAACCTTCCTGTCAGTTACCTTAGGAACACTTCAGGTCATGGCGACCATGCACACAGCAGCCTGCTGCGGCCGCCAGCTGGAGATGGATGTCTGATGTCACTAACAACAGTGCCAGAGGTCTTGGACATTTTGCAATGTATGTCTGTCACCAGGGACGCTGGCCCCGGGTAGATCCTTGCCAATGCGTCCAGCACTGGATGTTCCCTGAAAAAGAGGAAGGCGTCGCTTCCCTTCATGTAATGCTTGGCTATGGGCAGGGGTGGGGGGTGGGGGTGTTAAAGAAAAACTGCTGCTGCCATGCACGTTACAGCAGGTCAGTTGCAGAGTTGAATGTTATATGTTTTGCTGAGTTAAATATCTTTACATGTCTATATTCACGTCATTAGTTCCTCATGCCCAGCATAGCGCCTGTGTGGCTAGACTGCCCCGGGTTCCACCACTGGCCTTTGTGGCATCTGCAATGGGGCCTTGGGGAGCTGCTTGTCCCACTTCTAGACCTGTCTTTCCCCCCCTCCCATCTAGACCCATTTCTGCTCAGGGCACTGCTGTCTCTTTCAGCACGGTGGCCTTGATCTTGCCACTCCAGTCAAACAGGACTAGTTTTAGATTTATAAGCCTTAATTTGTTGGGAGCGGTGGTTAATAGCAGAGGGATCTACCTTTATTATCCCAGGCAGCTTCTCCCTCCTTTTCCAGCTTTGGTGAAGACACAGATGAAGATGTGCCAGGGAGGGGACTCCCTACTGAGAGCAACCAAACCCCAAGTCCGGAAAGAGATGGTGGGGATCTCAGCCTCAGACCCCCAAGCGTCCTGTGCAGTGTGGGCGGGGTCTCAGCCTCAGACCCTCAAGCGTCCTGTGCAGGGGGGTGGGGTCTCAGCCCCAGATCCTCTCCTCCTGTGCGGGCAGTGCTGGTGGAGGCCTGAAGCTGGCTGCAGCTGTTGACACCCTGGCTTTGCCATTTTCCCTCAAAAGAAAGAAAACAAAAACCACTTGAAATTAGTTGACAAGCAATACTTTGAAAAAGAAAACTGCATACGTTTGCTTTTGCCTTGGATGTGAGTCTAATGTCTCTTGGTAGTTGATAAGCATTTTATTTACATATTTAGATCTGCAGGAAATACGCATGTATCTCCTACAGTCCACTCATATTTCCACCTGGAGCCCTCATTCTGGGCAGTGACAGGAAAGGAAAAGCCCTTAATGACTGCCCGTCCCCACGTGGCGTGGAGCTTCAGTGGTCTCAGTGCAGAGGCACAGGGGATCTGCGTGGTCCCGGGCGCAGGTCTTCAGCAGCGGCTCTCGCTGGTCTCGGTCCTCGGTCCCGGCCCATCGGCCTCTTGGCTCTGCCTTTCTTTGCAGCTTCTACACGGAGCTTAGGGCGTGGGAATCTGCTGTGAGGCCCCAGCACTGCCTGCCTAGGAGCCATGGGGAGCCATTTCTCCCAGGGGTCTCCCCAGCCCCCTTGCTGTGCTGCTGGGAAGTGGGATGCGGCCCCTTCTCCTGGGCTTCCTGGCCTGCCTCTCACTTGCCCTTCTCCTGTCATCGGGTTTGTGCTGGAGCAGGAAGGGGAAACCCTGGGGCCTGAGGGAACGCCCTACCTTCATCTTCCTGGCCACGTATGTTCTCAGATCCTCTCCTCTGACCTCGGCTCTGGAGCTGATGCTGCAGGAAACAAGGTCAGGGGCCTCTCAGGCCTTTTCTTCCTCCGGCTCTACCCCTCTCTCTCGGCAAAAAGCACAGAGCCCGCTAATGCCTACACGGGAAGGCACGGCCACCAGGGTGACAGTGCTGTGTGTGCGATTTGAAGCCTCAACATAGCTGGACCGCGCAGGGAGCTATCGATTGTGATGGAGGGACGGAGAAGCGTGGCCACCAGCGATGCCTGGATGGCTGTTTGATTTTTCTAACACTTTCCTACTTCTTGACTGCAGGTGAAGAAGAAGCAGAAAAAAAAAAAAAAAAAAGCATAAGTCTTTGTTATTATATTAAAAAAAAAAAAAAAAAAAAAAAAAGGAAACCGTTTTGGTTAACGGGCCACATCTTAGCAGTTGGTAAGAAGGGGAAGGATCCGCGGGTCAGAATGGAGGGTGCGGAGCAGAGGAGCACAGGGGCGGCTGCAGGGGAGAGCCTGTCTCTTGGAAAAGTCGCGGGAGAGGAATGGGGGCGCCGCTCAGTGTCTCTGCCCCCCTGCACCCCCGGCACCCGGTTCCAGTTTGAGGTCGCGGAGTGCTCCCCCAGGCACAGGCTATGTGAAGGGTTTACGGTTATACGTTTGAGAGCATGGCCGGGGGTCCCGCATGAGGGGTGCGGTGTAGGCTCCTGTCTTTTCTGTCGGCGATGCTGGAGAGCCCATAGCCCTGGCTTCTGTCGTGGGGACTCGCCCTGTGCCCTGTGCCCCGGTTCCTGCTGGCTCTGCGCCTCCTGGACTCATTTCCCTTCCAGGGTCCGCAGCCTCCTCCGACGCTCCGGATCACCGTTTTCCAGCCGCGACAGCTTCATTCGCTTCAGCTCCGTGGTTGTCAGAGCAGGGAGCCCAGAGAAGTGGGGTGGAGTCCTCCTAGATGGGTGAGGACGGGATTTTTGGCAGCAGTTCCGGGGATCGTCCCTGATCAGCCTGCGCCTCCGCCCTGGCGGGAGGGAGCCTTTCCAGCCAGGAGGTGGGGAGGTGGGAGCAGCTGGGGCGAGCCAGGGGCTGAGGATCCTTTGCTCTCTGAAGTGTGGTTCATCACGGGTGCTGAGGGAGACACAGGGTGCCTGGGTGATCAATCTCTGCCCTGGAATCTCTGCGTTCAGCCCGTGTCGTATTCTCAGGAGCGATGGAAGCTCCTGCTGGAGAACGCTTTCCGGTCCTGACCTCCGATCTCTTGATCCCTGTGGCAATGGCATGGGCTCCATCTGTACCTGGCAGGCCCCAGCCCCAGGTTTGTCCTAGGCCCTTGGCATCTGTGCTGGCAGCAACCCCGGGGCCACCCTCAGCCTCTCATGACTTCTGCCCTTCTCTGGTCCCTGTAGGAATGATATTCAAAAGAAAACACCCAGGGGGGTCACAGTGATTACAGTAACGCTGCCACCAGGACGGAGCAGATGTGAGGGCTGTTGCATAGTAGGCAGAGCTCCTGAAGGGGCCTCAGTTGCTGCAGGGCTAGAATTTCCTGTGTGGGTTGTGGGGAGTGACTATGGAATTCAGAGGCAGGGAAGAATCTATTGGGGCTCTTGTGGCAGGAAACTGAGACTCCAGAGGGACCCTGGTGAAATTCTCAGAGAGGAGAGAGCCTGGGAAAGTGAGCCAAGGAACAAGCGTTTGTCCCCAAGGCCCGGGCCAAGGGCCCTGCTTCCCTGGTCGGAGGCAAGGGGGACCCTTTGGGGTCTCATGGCCTCATGGTTCAGGTGGCCTCTTCCTCCAGATCCCCACTCACCGCGTGCGGCTCAGTCACATGTGTGGAGTCCGCCTTGACTCTGCCCTTCAGTTTCCCTGCCCAACGCTGGCTGCACCCACTGTCATTCCTCAGCCCTGCTTCCGGCAGGCCCCTACCCGGACACTGATGCTGTGGCATGCACCACCACATGGGGGACTCTGGGCAGTGCCTTGGTGCGTTTGACCATATGCCCCCCATGTGGCCTTCCCACACCCCTGGGGTGTCTGATTGCAGCTCCGGGGTGGGGCCAGTCTAAGCCTGGAGCTCCTGCAGGTTGGTCTAGTGCCAGGCCTGGGGGAAGGCAGAGGTGGAGACTGGGGGGGCTTTCCTTCTGCTTGCTGTGTCCCCACAGGAGCTGGCTCAGGACTGCATGAGTGTCCATGTCAGAAGAGGGGCTTAAGCCGTGAGGACTGACGCTTCCCTCCAACCTGAGCGGGTGGGGAGGGGTGAGGGTGAGGCCGGTGGCCACACCTGCTCCACCCTCTCCCTGGAATAAAAAAGTGGCGTTTTTTTCATTCCTCTCCCTCTCATTCTCCTGTTCCTTGTGTATCAGGACACGGTTTGGTGCTGGAATAGAGTCATAAGCAAGACAGACATAGACCTCGCCTTCAGAAAGCTTTTGTTTGGTGAAATGCTGTGGAAATGCATCTCAAATATTACATAGGAACAATCTGGAGTGGAGCTCAAGTCATTCCAGCAGGTCTCACTGTTTAAGAATTTTACTTTGTTTTGTATTTTTATATATATTTTTCGAGACAGGGTCCTGCTCTGTTACCCAGGCTGGAGTGCAGTGGTGCAATCGTAACTCATTGTAACTTATACCTCCTGGGTTTGAGTGATCCTCCCACCTCAGCTTTCCAAGTAGCTGGGACCACAGCTACGCACCACAAACTCAGCTAATTTTAGAAATATTTTTGTAAAGATGGAGTCTCTCTATGTTTCCCAGGCTGGTCTTGAAATCCCGGCCTCAGGGGATCATCCCTTCTTGACATCCAAAGGTATTGGGATTACAGGTGTTTGCCGACACATCCAGCTGTCCTCACTGAAAAAAAATTTTTTTTGAGACAAAGTCTCACTCTGTTGTCCAAGCTAGAGTGCAGTGATGTGATCTTGGCTCACTACAACCTCCACCTCCTGGGTTCAAGTGATTCTCCCGCCTCAGCTACCCAACTAATTGGGATTACAGGCATGTGCCATCATGCCCAGCTAATTTTGTATTTTTGGTAGAGACGGGGTTTCCCCATGTTGCCCAGGCTGGTCTTGAACTCCTGACATCAAGTGATCCGCCCACCTTGGCTTCCCAAAGTGCTGGGATTACAGGTGTGAGCCATTGCGCCCAGCCCTGCTCTTACATTTTATAGGTGAAAAATTATGGAGAATTTGGGAAAATCCCACAAAGAAGAATCAGTAGTGAGGTAGTGGGAAAACCCTGGGAATATACTGTTGTAAGTAAAATTTCGATGCTGCAAAAGAAATAGCACTAGAAGATAAATCCTCTCACCAAAGCAGTTTACTTCTATAGAAGGATGTGGCTCACGCATGGAGCAATGGTGACCGCACATTTGGACAAGGGAGGAAAGGGGCACTGAAGTCTGACTGGGGTCACCCCTACTGCTGTGTCATTCCCTATTAGCTAGGGTTAGACTGCATGAGCTAGACTAATCCTGATTGGCTGTTTTAAAGAGAGCAGGGGTCCGAGCTGGAGTGGCGGGGTGCGTGGAGGAGGGTTTGGTGGGAAGGATGGTTACAGGTGGGTCAGAGCAGGTAGCCAGGGGTGACCTAGGTCAAAGAAGGTGACCAGAGCAGGTAACTGGAGCAGGTGACCGGGATGAGTCAGGATGGAGCCAGGGGCTGGGGGAACAGATGTGAACTACTGATTAGAACCAGTGGAGAAGATTGTTTATTGGAAATACAAGGAAGTTAAACTTTAAAATAGAAGAGAGCTGAACATACTGACGTACTGATTCTTTGAAGAGAAACTTGGTGTTCACTATATCTAACAATACGCAGCAGCTGTGGACTTGTACAGGAATTATCCCTCCCTCTCTCTCTGGGTATCCCTTTTCTTTTGGTGGGGTTTTCATTTCAAAATCAGGTCTCTCGCCTGCTTTAACTACCATTCACTCATAGTTTTAACCTTCACGAAGCTGTTTGCTAACACTGTTCATCACTGAGAGTTTAAGAACTTTCTATTTGCACTCCTGGTTATTGTCTGTGGGCCTCTTGTGCCTGCCTATATCTCTCTAGAATCTTCCAGAAGCAACTTGACTCTTTTAGGCCTTTGCAGCCAGCTAAGAAGGCAAAGAAAAGTCACCGTTGCAATAAAAAGAGGGCACTTTGTCTTACTTGGCAATATACCACCACCAGCCTCAGCAGCAATAGCAGCACCCCCACCCCCCAACCCAAAACAAATAAGAAAACCTGTGAGCAAAGCCCAGGGGAGCTGTGTTGAATGTAGGCGCCAAGTCGGGCTGAGGGCTGCAGCTGGATGCCCAGATAGCAGAGAGAGAACAGGCTGGAAGAAAGCTTATTCAAAATTCTGCTCTTGAGCTGGGCATTGTGGTTCATGCCCGTCATCCCAGCACTTTGGGAGGCTAAGGCAGGAGGATTGCTTGAGCCTAGGAGTTTGAGACCAGCCTGGGCCACACTGGGAGACGCTGTCTCTACAAAAAAAGCATTAGCTGGTTGTGATGGTGTGTGCCTGTGATCCTAGCTTCTTGGGAGGAGGTGGGAGGATTGCTCGAGCCTGAGAGGTTGAGAATGCAGTGAGCTGTGATTGCACCACTGCACTCCAGCCTTGGAGACAGAGCAAGACCCTATCTCGAAACAAACAAACAAACAAACAAACAAACACATTTTGCTCTTGTCTCTCCTTCAGCCAGCAGCCCGCGTGGCAGGGCACATGTCTTCACAATAATATCAAAGTGGTAGAAAATGTCCTGCTAGGTGCTGGCAAAAGCTGCTGCAGAGGGAGCAGCTGCCCTCTGCCTTCTCTCTCCAGCCCTCCTTCTCCAGCATCTTATGATTAGGAATGACAGCCTGGAGACACCACCTCATTATAGTGTGAAGTCACCACCTCCTCCCAAGGTGGTTTCTCACCAAAGCGTTGAAGATGAAGACTGGAAGAAAGTAGCTGCTGGGCAGAGGTAGCAAACAGAATCTTTTCAGATTTCTTTCTTCCAGTGTTCAGTCTTTTAGTCCTGAGGGGCTTTCTGCTCTGGGACTCATGTTTTCACTTGATGTTGACTTATCAAATATGTTTTGTTTTGTTTTAAAATTTTAGATAGGCTCTCACTCTGTCAGTCAGGCTGGAGTGCAGTGGCTCAGTTAGGACTCACTGCAGCCTCAGCCTCCTGAGTAGCTGGGACCACAGACATGTGCCACCACACAAGTGTAGCGGGGAGATCCCATAAGTGCCAAGGCAGGAGCAAGAAGCCTCAGCCTATTTCCATATAAATAATTTTTAAAAAGTAACTAGAAGTATAACCATAGTAGTTATTAGTTACTCATATGTGATCTTAGTTATTCATAGGTGATCCTAATTCTTTTTTTTTTTTAACTGCATTTTAGGTTTCGGGGTACATGTGAAGAACATGCAAGATTGTTGCATAGGTACACACGTGGCAGTGTGATTTGCTGCCTTCCTCCCCTTCACCTATATCTGGCATTTCTCCCCATGCTATCTCTCCCCACCTCCCCACACCCTGCTGTCCCTCCCCTATTCCCCCCAACAGACCCCAGTGTGTGATGCTCCCCTCCCTGTGTCCCTGTGTTCTCATTGTTCAACACCCACCTATGAGCGAGAACATGTGGTGTTTGCTTTTCTGTTCTTGTGTCAATTTGCTGAGAATGATGGCTTCCAGGTTCATCCATGTCACTATAAAGGACATGAATTCATCATTTTTTATGGCTGCATAGTATTCCATGGTGTGTATGTGCCACATTTTCCCTGTCCAGTCTGTCATGGATGGGCATTTGGGTTGGTTCCAGGTCTTTGCTATTGTAAACAGTGCTGCAATGAACATTCGTGTGCATGTGTCCTTATAGTAGGACGATGTATAATCCTTTGGATATATACCCAGTAAGGGGATTGCTGGGTCAAATGAAATTTCTATTTCCAGGTCCTTGAGGAATCACCACACTGTCTTCCACAATGGTTGAAGTAATTTACACTCCCACCCACAGTGTAAAAGTGTTCCTATTTCTCCACATCCTCTCCAGCATCTGTTGTCTCTGGATTTTTTAATGATCGCCATTCTAACTGGTGTGAGATGGTATCTCAATGTAGTTTTGATTTGCATTTCTCTAATGACCAGTGGTGATGAGCATTTTTTCATGTTTGCTGGCCTCATGTATGTCTTCTTTTGTAAAGTGTCTGTTCATATCCTTTGTCCACTTTTGAATGGACTTGTTTTTTTTTTTTTTCCTTGTAAATCTGTTTTAGTTTTTTGTAGATTCTGGATATCAGCCCTTTGTCAGATGGGTAGATTGCAAAAATTTTTTCCCATTCTGTTGGTTGCCGATTCACTCTAAAGACTGTTTCTTTTGCTGTGCAGAAGCTGTGGAGTTTGATTAGGTCCCATTTGTCTATTTTGGCTTTTGTTGTCAATGCTTTTGGCATTTTGGTCATGAAGTCCTTGCCTATGCCTATGTCCTGAATGGTTTTGCCTAGATTTTCTTTTAGGGTTTTTATGGTATTAGGTCTTATGTTTAAGTCTTTAATCCATCTGGAGTTAATTTTAGTGTAAGGTGTCAGGAAGGGGTCCAGTTTCTGCTTTCTGCACA